CAAATGTAGTCCATTCAGTATAGAAATCTGGATTTTTTCATGCTTGAATTTCATGTTTTTTCGAATGCGTGTGTACAGACATTTAGAACATCTGATCTGTACCGTAACGTTTGAGACAATCCTCAGATCTATACAGATCTTAGGCATACATAAACAGCTCTGCTTGCAGATATTGGTTTTTGAGAAGTTGTCTCTTTTGTTGTCTCTATAACTCAGAAATAATGAGTAGTAATAAATTCTTAGCCGCCTGTCACTTGATTGAGTTTATGACAGAATCCTCTAACTGTGAGGCTTATGGCAATGCTGCACTAATTAAGCTGTTCTTCAAAAACCAATGCAAGCCTCTGGGAGTAAAGAGACTGCGAAAGAATCAAGATGACATACAGCAGCCCTGTCATGTGTCTCCACGCTAACGGTTTATGTGTCTTTCTCTTTTATTGTGACAAATCAGTGTAAGGATAATTAACTATGATATACTGTGATTTAGCGATGTCACATTATCATAAGCCTCCAAAAAGTATATTTTTTTTTTAACAATAATTTTAAGCTCTTTGTCTAAATGTATTACTTTGCAGTAGGATTATACAATAGAAGAGGTAATTACATCGACTATTGTCTCTTGCTCCATTGTAGTGCAATCAACATTATGAAAATTATTTGGAATATGACAACAATGATGGGAAATTTTTTGGAAAGAAGTAGCATTTATAATATATACATTACAATGTCACAGCGTTCTGTGATTGATTGATATTATATTATATTATACGATGAGATTTAGCCATTGTTTCATCCATAAGGCTACTCACTGAACTAAAAATGTAACCTTTAGCTGAAAAATAATGACATTGTCATTTTTTTTTTTTGCCATATCACCACCTACTGAAATATGTAAGCTCAAATGTAGGCAGTTGCAACATCTTAAAATATATGGCTGCATTCACTCTGATAAATTCTGTTCACCAGCAAAGACCACAACCTCAGAAAGTAGCATGACTTTATTCCCAACCTAACAGATGTCTGTCTGATTGTAAATTTTGTGTTGAAACTTTTATAGCAGTATTTGTTCAATAAAAGAAAAAATGGCACTCAACTTGGTAACCCCGCCATATGACAGATAGAAGGAATGAGAAGTAGACAAGAAAGGAGGGAGGGAGGGGCACATAAACTAGAAGATGGTGAGAAAGTAGATGGTACAAATAAGGTAGGGACAGAAAGAGTGCAACTGAATTTTAGATAACTAGAAACATATCTTCATGACTACCTTTGGCACCTTTGTGATTTACTTGAGTCTTGGAGTATTATGTGGTTGGTCTGTTTCACTCTCTGTGGGTGGTAGACCTGACTGCTGTGCTAATTCTCACCTTTCTATCTAAATGTGAAGGATTGATTTTCACATTTTAATCATTTTTGTCATGGATGTGTCACTGATAGAGACTGTGTGTGTGTGTGTGTGTGTGTTAGGGCTACACTGAGAGAAAACTGAAATATGAACTGATAAACTAATTCAATATTTCCATTCATTTGAGAATATGTTTGTAGAGCTCTAGACTGCATGTACAACAGGATAATGTATAAAGATTCTATAAAAATGATTGCAGCCTTTGTGATTTGATAATTGTGCCAACTCAAATTGCAATTTCAATTAGGTTGCCAGATATTGTGCCACTCTAATCTGCATGAGAAGGATTGGTTTCCACATTTGAGTCATTTTGTCACTGATGCGTCACTGATAGATGAGTGTGTTGTGTGTGAGAGAGAGAATAGGTCCACTTTATATAAAACCAGAGATCCAATCTGTTTTATCGGATTCACTGCTGCTGTGACTCATCTGTTCTTGTCTAGTGAAGGCTTCTGCAGCTCTGTGTTTGTGCAGATAGGATTTACCTGTTTAAACTTTTATAAAACAATTTTGATGTGTCTCTTATGATTGACTTATACTGTAAACTTATTTTGATTTTTACTTTACATTTCATTTGAGGAGAGAGGTGCTGTAAAACCTTGTAAAACCCCAACAACACGTGACAACCATAAAATAAACGTAAGAGACATTATTTTACCACCAACATTTTGATATTTATCACTTGAAACAGCTCATAAAAATCTCACAATTGTCCTAAATCACCGTGTTACATACACTGAGTGTCACAAGCATTACAATGACGTAATGTATTATGACCTAATACATTTACTTAAGTCACTATTTACAGATATTGTACTTTCTCCATCCATCCATCCATTTTCGTCCGCTTATCCGGGGCCGGGTCGCGGGGGCAGCAGCCTAAGCAGGGACTCCCAGTCTTCCTTCACCCCAGACACGTCCTCCAGCTCCTCCGGGGGAGCCCCGAGGCGTTCCCAGGCCAGCCGAGAGACATAGTCCCTCCAGCGTGTCCTGGGTCTTCCCCGGGGCCTCCTAGCGGCGTGACGTGCCTGGAACACCTCCCGAGGGAGGCGCCCAGGAGGCATCCTCAACTGGCTCCTCTCGACGTGGAGGAGCAGCGGCTCTACTCCGAGCTCCTCCCGCGTGACTGAGCTCCTCACCCTATCTCTAAGGGAGCGCCCAGCCACCCTGCGGAGGAAACTCATTTCGAGCGCTTGTATCCGCGATCTTGTCCTTTCGGTCACTACCCAGAGCTCATGACCATAGGTGAGAGTAGGAACGAAGACTGACCGGTAAATCGAGAGCTTCGCCTTTCGGCTCAGCTCCCGCTACACCACAACGGTCCGATACAGCGACCGCATCACTGCCGAAGCTGCACCGATCCGCCTGTCAATCTCACGTTCTGTCCTTCCCTCACTCGTGAACAAGACCCCGAGATACTTGAACTCCTCCACTTGAGGCAAAGACTCCCCACCCACCTGGAGATGGCAAGCCACCTTTTTCCGGTCGAGAACCATGGCCTCAGACTTAGAAGAGCTGATCCTCATCCCAACCGCTTCACACTCGGCTGCAAACCGCCCCAGTGCACATTGCAGGTCCTGGTTCGATGAAGCCAACAGGACAACATCATCCGCAAACAACAGAGATGAGATCCTGTGGTCCCCGAACCGGACCCCCTCCGGCCCCTGACTGCGCCTAGAAATTCTGTCCATAAATACAATGAACAGAACCGGTGACAAAGGACAGCCCTGGCGGAGTCCAACATGCACCGGGAACAGGTCTGACTTACTGCCGGCAATGCGAACACAGCTCCTGCTCCGGTCATACAGGGACTGGACAGCCCTTAGCAAAGGGCCCCAGACCCCATACTCCCAGAGCACCCCCCACAGGACACCACGAGGGACACGGTCGAATGCCCTCTCCAAGTCCACAAAGCACATGTGGACTGGTTGGGCAAACTCCCAAGAACCCTCGATTGCCGCCGCGACAGGCACCACAGACCTTACGTCTACAGCTCCGAGCAGCCACATCGACAATAGAGGCCGAGAATGAAGCCCACTCGGACTCCATATCTTTCTCCCCACTGTGAAAATACCAGACATGAGTACTATTTCATGTTTCATCCTCGCAATTGCATTTACTTTAAATGACAAATCAGATGTTTCGTCCAGTTACTTTTAACTTACTTGAAGAGTAGTTTCCCCGAATACTTTTACTCTTAGCTACTTGACACATTTTTTGGACTTTTACTTTTTACTTAGACTTGAGAAATGTATTTTTTTAAATAACGTTACTCTTAATTCAGTACAATTTGTGGCTATTTTACCCAATTTTCATGGGCAATTTTCATTTTCTAGCTTACTACTACTAGCATTAGACCAAATATATTTAGTATTTTTATGAATTAAATTAACTGCAGAGTGTCCTAAAAAGGTAAAGTAATCTGACCCGGGGCATGTGAGAGCTCAGGTGGTTGGACTTGAGGTTCTTGTTGAGTTCAGTTCTGCTGAAAAACAAACGCTATTAGCTGTTAGTTTTGCGCTGTTAGCTTAGCTTCGGACAGTGAAATGTGGCTTCTCTCTCGGAGTGCAGACTGAGAATGGCAGAAAATTCCAATGTTGGGGTTTATATATGCAACTACTGGCAACCGTGGATGTGCGATGCCATTAAAGATATACTGTAGTGACAAATAGCCCTCTACCTTCAAATTGAATTGTTGTCATAATGTCAAAAGGAGGGCATATATAACTCTATGGGATGTTTATAGTTTTAGACAGAAATATCCAAACTTAAAATCCACAAATCTTTAGCCTTTAGCCATTTTTGGCAGGAGATGGTTACACAAACTCGCCATATTAATCTTATGGCTTCAACAACAATGACGTCTTTTGTTAGATAATGCTGCCAGGTGCTATAATGCTAACAGAAAAGACTGCTTTTTGTTTTATGTGGATAGGCCTAGTAATTACAGAGATTATAACCAGGTTAACCAGGTCAACAAATCTGCAGTCTGACAAAACAACAAATTCAAATGTAGAATTTTGATCTATCCTCGCCCACATAACTTCAGGTATTGCTCGGATTTAAATGATGTAATACATCATTGTAGGTTTAAAAGACACACACATATAATGCAAATTTTAACCACTTATACTGTTGTCCCCTCATCAAAAACTTACCTGAAGTTGTATTTGCTACATTCACACTTGCCTCATTAATCCATTAATTGTAAATTGTCTTTTCTGAGCATTTTTCTGCATTTTGCCCAAATTGCTATTTCACAGATCAAAATCTAGACTGCAGTTATTAAGACCACAAGCCATCTTACAGGACCAAAAGTATATTTAAAAGGGTATTACAGCCACGCAAATGCATAATATGTGTTCTTTAGGTATTAATAATAAAAGCAAGACAAACAAAAACAGCAGAAGTCTTTAAATATAGAGAGACACAAGTCCAGTTTTATTTATTGATTTTTTACAAATTCTGAAATAAATGTGGAATCTTTTTGTGACATCTTGTAAACCTGTAAGCACAAAATCTTCTTTGAAGAAACCATAATATGGCGCAGTAGTTTTGTTAGGTTGTAAAAAATGAACCTATAATACAGATCTGGCTGTATAAAAGAGCTCCCACATTAGTGCATTAAGATTCATTAATCCCTCCTCTGCAGTTTAGACGTAAACAAATGTGCCTTCATATTTGGAGCAGTATCAGCACAAAAGCCTTTACAACATTTCTGTTTTATCATCAGCCTCTCATCAGCAGCTTGTTTACGTGAGTTCGTTCACAGTGAAAAAGGCTTTTGAAAGTCCCTACAAACAAACCAGGCTCTGACAAGGTTCCACTTCATCATCTCGGGAGGTATTCAACTGGGAGTCCACTTAAGTTTCTGCTCTGAAGTGCCTGATCCACATCATGTATAAACGAGTCAATCATGGTCCTCATATCAGCGGTGAAGGGGTCAAAGGTCGGCCGCTGTGACCCCGAGCGTTTAAAATGGCCGTCCTGGTTGCTATGGGCACACAGGAGCCTCTCTTCGTTCACAGTCACATTCAAAAAGGAGACAATGAGACGTAGCTGTGGGATCAGGGACTTCTGAAGCTCTTCGTAATGCACCACCAGCAGCCGTTTGCCGAATTTCAGCCAGCTCAGTGCGTGAGATGCCCACCAGGGGGCGTAGCTGGAGACGAATTCTGGCCACTCTAAAGATATGACAAAAAGAAATAAGAAATAAAAGAATCCGTGATGTTACTTTCAACAACAAGAGACATGTGCAATACAATACCCCATTTAAAGTTTCACTGTGTAACTTTTCTGTTTGGGGGTCCAGCGTCTGTTTGTCTTTATGGCAACAGTATTGGCTGGAATATATATTTGGCATTTAGTTAAGGGTGTTTACCATTGCTCAAAAATGACCTCTCATCATCAACTACGAGTCATAGATCTGACTCGTAGTTGTCCATGGAGTTTAATAAGTTTAATCCCATACAATAACATACATACATATATACAATATCAGACTCTCCTCCAGAAAAGTTCCATGGTGCGACTTTATATTCATTTATAACATGATGAGGTGTAAACATTGCACCCTAAACTGTATAACTTTACCTTTACTTTTCCATTGTGCGTCTGAGGCGTGCCCTAGATGCCCGGCGCACTTTCGATTGAATTCAGCCATGAGTGACCTGTACGGATTTCGGATGAGCAAGATGGCTGAACTAAACATCTCTATTTCTTTCTGACCGCTCTCGTGGGTCTTCACACAAATGCTACGGCCGCTCTTCCAGTAGTCCTTCTCTCCTTTGAAACCTGGCAACCACCAACAAATTAATTGATTCAGTCTCTCGGCGCTGATTGAATTGCTTATTTTAATACCTCTCATGCTGTACACACCTCGGTTGTATAGTGTACCATCAAAGTAAAAGCTCCCGGTGTAGTATCCAGTCACGAGCTCAATCAGGTGGCGGACCCAGGTGTTGCCTGCTCCAGGAAAACTTGACAGAGCCACGAGGGAGCTGGATCTCTGAGGCAGAAACATCCTCTCTTTGCACCTGGAGTCTACAAACAGTGTTTCTTCATTTAGGCAACAGTGAACCAGAGGTGAAGCAATTCTCAAGGCATGTGTGGAGGAGACATTCACACTTGCATAAATATCATGTTAAAACTGTGACTAAACCTGAACTAAACCAACCAGAACTAAACCAAGACTAGAACAGAATGTCCAGATTAAACTGGGCTCCAGCCAGAACCAAAGAAGTACAGTTATTCTCCAAGTCTTATTTTATTGTATATGAAAAAAGAATAGATTTAAAATGCCCTTGCTCTATATTGGAACTAGAATAAGGCCATGTGGTAATTTTATTAAAAGTGCAATTAAAATGATTTGTTTTAAATCACTAATTGCTATGGTGACAGCTGTCCTAATTTGTCATCATTCTTAAACCCATACTATAAATAGTATTCCTGCGTATTACTCTCTCTGCTTTCCAATGAAATATCTTTGCCTCCTGCTGTGCACTTTAAAACCAGCCAAATGATAAGTTTAAAAATAATCCCTCTCCTCACCCAGGACAGGGGTTTGGTAGACGTGGTAGTGGTCCCTCTCTGTGCGTGTTGCAGACAGGGCAGTGGTCTGGTTGGACACACTGCTCTGCTCACACTGCTGACCGTCCAACGCTTCAGTCACACTGAACAGAGACGAAGTCCAAGTGCAGAAACAGTGAGGCCGACTCAACACAGCAAGAGGCAGCTCCTGCAAAACACACACTATCGTAATACAGCTACTTATACATACTACATACTTCTTATACAAATTGCAGTGTTGGGAAGTAACTGAAAACATGTACAGAGAATAGCTATTCAGAATACAAATTTTGATGTATTCTGGTACTGTTAGTTTTCTCAAATCAAGGCAGTACACAGTGGTAGGCTGCTGGGTCACATCATTTAGGCTTGAAAGTGAAAAAAAAAGAAAAAAGAAATACACAGAAAAACATCGCTCTATATACTGTGTGCATGTGTGATCTTTCCTTCTCTAATTTATTGATAGAAAATGCATAACAAACGGTCAAACAAACAGTTGTTTTTAATCCTATGTTGCCTCTTTACACTAATGTAAATGCAACTCGATGCAAAAGTATTTTAAGTATTCAGAATATAGTTGATGGGACCATGTATCAGACGGTGTTACAACATACATTTTAATTCATACATTCAGGTATTCAAAGTATTCTTCCCATCACTGACAATATGTATAGTAGTGGAAATGTGATATGGCTGTTGATTATTGCTATATAGATATAATTCCTTTTAGTCATTTCGTTATTTTGAAAACTGCATTTTGAAATATTTGACACATTTATGTACTTGCCCTAATTAGTCAAACTCTGTCAAAATAAAAACTTAAAACAGACAAGACCCAGACTAAAGCATAAGGACTGAATAAGGAAAATCATGAATAAATAAATAATAAAACAGTGCTTGATGCAATATTTGAGCCATCCAGGAATAAAATATATCAAAGAGACAGACTAAAACAGGATTTACTTAATTTAAGCGAAACGTCGGCTTCTAAATTATGGAAGTCTAGCAGTTTTAATCTCACTCTTTCAAATAATAAAACAGTACATGTCTGTCATGGAAAACACTGATACTTTTGCAATATTCTTAGTTTACGATACTGATCATTGCATTAGCTAATTTTGCAATAATTAACTGTGCAACTCTAGTACATTAAATTATGCTTTGAGTCATATTTATCTGTTCATGTTGGATACACATCTAAGTCTATATCTGCTCTTCACTCCTGTTACTAAAAATACACTTACGCATGTGTCCATTAGTGGTCTGAAAAGCTATTCTCTATTCTCCTTTGAAATAGATGCGAATGTACCACGTCAGTATGTTTATTCATTGAAGTACAAACCTTATCTGTGCAGGTCTCGATGCAGGACTGGGACGTCAGATTGGGTTGGAAGGAATAGATGGGGAAGGTGCCAATGACGTTCTTGAGCAACTGGAAGCAGCCGCGGTAGTGAACGTTCCTGACTGCAAAATAAAAAGTCAATGACGGAGCTAACAAAGAAAAAAGTTATGCTACTTCATTCTATTTGCTTCTTTCACATATTCTCCTCGAAGGCCTGTCACGATAACACATTTCATAGTCTGAATAGTGAAACTAGTTTATGCCACTGATACAATTATAAATGCAGATTTATACCCCAAAAACTATTATGTGTGTACAATATTGTAAAAAAAATCATGAGCTGCCACTAATAAATAGCTAAAACTGTAGTATAGTTTGCATGTGTCATCAGTCACAGAAGTTATTAATTCAACCTTCTACACCTCAAATCTAATCATATAGCTAAAATATAACCAAAAATTTCCCAGTAGTGCAAATAAAATGTACACATGATAAATACTGAACCCGCAAAAATATGAAGAGTTCAATAGCAAAACCAGAAATTGCCGTTTTGAAAAAAATACAAGAAGCTTTTTTCTTTTGTTACGATCTTCTAGAGATATTTGTAATGACAATAATGGATTTTATCAAGAGAGGATGGAATTATATTTTGGTATCAGTAAAGTAGATTTAGCTTTTGGAAATATTACTATACTAAGAGTAAATGCAAGCCGCCGATGACTTTTTCAAATGGCAAATGAACTCTTCCTGTTCCAGCTTTCATACAGTGAACGATAAACCGATATAGTATTTATCCTGACAGGCCATATTCTTTAATACACAGTCCCTAATATTTTACAACACCAAATTTCATGGTTATTTCTATTCTACGGACTACATTGATTTGTTTGTGCCTATAAGAAGTTAAAGCCAAAAAAATTAATTGCGACTGGTACATGACCAGTCTCCAGGTGAGTAATAGGAGCTCTGCAGCTGCTCTGTCTGAAAGTCAAACACACTTAAAATCCTTAGTGGCCTCCATCAATCAACATTTAAAGCTGCACTAAGCATAATTTTATGCAAAAGCACACCTGTGTTATTATCTGAAATTAAATCAGGCTGTGAACACTGAACATCCCCATCACTCAAACTTGTGTCATCTTCTCTCCTTGGTTTTACTCTAAATGTTCTTTCTGCTCGAGCAACACACACTTTGCTGCAAAATAGGAAAAGTCACTATGACAAAGAAAGAAAAAGAGTGTAACAGCAGAGAAGTTGCTTATGTGTGATTCGTTTAGATTGGCATTTGACTTTTTAAAATGTTCGGCCGAAAAAAGTCATACTCTGTGCATTAATTAATCAACTAAAAGGGAACATGACATGGCAAAACCTGTCAAAATTATTCGGATCTTGCACAGTATACGGCACACGTCTACAATAACCTCTTCTTCATGTAAAATGGCAGATCAAATTGTTGCTCTCAAAGAGTCCTCTATAATTCAAATAAAATAATTAGATGACTAATCAAAGTTGGTTGACTAAGACTAGCACTGCACAATATGAGAAAAATATGAGATATTTTATAACTAGATTTTGTACTGTGATATTACAATACTATTCTGATATTTTAACATACCTTTTGGTACAGTAAGTTCAGTTAAATAAAAAATGTACACACTGTTTAATTACTAATCAAACTGTGTTTAAAACCCAAAACCAAATAACAAAAATCATGAATAATTTTGCTTTTTTGACCATTTTATTTTCAAAAAAGGGTAGTTTTCTGTAAAATGGAAAACATTGTGTTGTTGCAGTATATTTATATTCTTGCGACATTGATTTTTGCGTCAGCCAGTATTGCGACATTTTGCGATATACTGTACTAAGACAGCACTGACCAATAACTCAACCAAATGTCTAAAAAACTACAGCCTTAGATTGTTTTCATTACAACTGAATTTGCACAAGCATTCGAGTGACTCACATTTTCGGTGGCCAGGCAGCTGCTCCTCCACTTTGTAAATGGAGAGTCGTCCCACCCCTCCACAGCGAGACCCCCTCTCACCCCGACACACCAGGCTGCAGTCCTCGTCCGGGGCACGGGGGCTACTGATCCTGTTCCCACAGTGACACTCTGCTCCATACTCCAGACCGGCAAACTGGTACCCACTACACACACGTATACATAACACATACAGAAGCTTACTGCAACGCCCTCACTCATAGCAATCAGTAACCTCAAGCTAGTGCCCTTCGGCTAAGCCGTCCCACAAGACATTAGTTAACATTTACAACTTATCATATAATTCAGCTCCGAGCATTAAATCCCAGTATTCTCTGGCCTGAGTGAGACAGCTGAACTCTGTCCCCTCTCATCTGTGCTCCACCGATGAAGGCTTGTGCAGCTCTCCCTCTCCACTCTCATCTGCCTCCACAGGGATACCGAGCCCTCATCAGAATTGACCTTTTCATATGTGTCCTTTGAAGCTTCCTCATAAATTGCTTTGACTTTTTACTTTTGCTCATCGCAGTAATTGGAAAAAGGTAAAAAGCAAGACTGCGGGAAGGAGCATCGAGATTGAATTCAGATTCTGAGTTTGACTGGATTCATCTGTCCTCGCTTTTTTACTTGTATTAAAAGGAATAATTGATGCAGGTCACTTCGTGGTAATACCTTCTTAAAAAACCTACAGGCATCTCTGCTTTTTCTCACTGCTTTTGCAAGTCTTTCTCTGTTCTATTGGAAATTCAACTTGTACTGACCCGCTCTGAAGTGTCCATTCTTGGACCAAGAACACTTCTAAGCCCTGATTTATGCAGCATCTGCCGTGGACTGCTCATTAGGCTTCCTCACTCATCCACACCTCCCTCCTTCCTCTTCTTCGCCAGCCTTCTGTCCTGGCCGCTCTTCACTCTCCCCTTGCTCTCCCCTCATCTTTTACTGTCACACAGCCACCTGGCGCTCCTCTGGCTTAAACACAGGAGCCATTCATGGAGTAGATGGAGATTCAAAGGCTTTCTCAGACTGCAGGCTTTCTGTGGTTCCTTTGAGGAACTGTGTGAATACATTACCTTTCGGAGCAGGTGTCTTGACACAGAGAGCTGGTCATTTTGCGTAGGTCATAAAGCATGGTTCCTCCCAGAGCTTGATCGCTTGCATTGTGAAGAAAGCAGCCCATGTATGTTCCTGTGTGATAGAGGAAAAATACATTGGTTGTCATCATAGACTCTATATATAAATGGACATAGCTAACTTGCTAACCACCACATTCCAGATAGGAGGTGAGCACAGGGGCGCTTCCGGCTTCATTGACTCTGTCTCCAAATGTCTTTACATTGAAAAATTGTCACCCCTCTCTCTGTAACTGCTGCAGTAAGGCTAAGCACTTTGGTTTTAAAATGTTTGTTTTAACCCGCGCTACATGATCCTGTTGTTTTGATTTCGCTATTTTATCATAAACAAATTCCTATTCTTAATACGTAACTCCGCTCCAAATTTGCTCCTATAACTGCTAGCCTCATGAGTTTCATTTGACTGGAGCCGCTATGAGTGACGTCACACTCCTTTAGTCCACTTCTTTATACAATCTATGGTTGCCTTCCAACAATTCTTAATCATAAACACTTCACACTTACACTCTTTTAGATGATTAGATGCAACAAGGGGCACTTAATGAACTAAGCGAAATGCTAATAGCAGATTACTTTCAAAAGAAATCAGAATGAGATGTTTTTGTTTTAACTGAAGTTTTCTTACATTGTATATCTCATTTTTTTAGTCTTTACTTGACATAATTTAGAGTGCATATTTTCTTTAATAAGTTTTCTGTTACATAATAATTAATCACCAAACACAAGTACAATACTTTGATTTCTAACTCCACTTGTAGTTTTAATTCTTATAACTGCAGTAAGTTTAAGTGTAAGTATTTCATTTTCACAAGTGATTTCTGTATAGAGAAGCATGTAAGACTTAACAGGCTTTGACAGACTATTATGATGAGCTGATGCGATAGGTCTCTAAAATGTCCAAATTCAGGTGTTTGATGTTATCCTTCCCTTTAAGACAGAGCTACATCAAAACCCCACAGCCGACACACAGAGGTCCTCTTATGAGCACCGGCCGCTGAATGCAGGCCAGTGCATCTCTTTGTGAGCACACAGTATTGCTCCAGGGGTCTAAGGCAATTATATTTCTCCACTCTCTGCTTAAAGATGTCAGCTGCATAGACTCAAAACGTATTCAGAGTGAATGGTTTAAACCTGTTTTGGTGCAATACAGAAGAGTGTGCTATATTTGGGAAGGGCTGCATGATTCATCACAATCGAATCAATATCGCAATTTGAATTGACACATTTAGCAAATCGCAAAGGCTGCAATGTTTAGGTCTAATTTCCTCCACAAATAACAAAAAACCCTGTCTTATTCTGCATAAAAACTGCTAACCTTGTACTTTAGAGCTGTACAAACATGTTCTGAAATGTGATTCTTATATTAGTTTGTCAATTTATATTACAGTATTTTTTTCCCCACTTCCTCAATGCATTTAATTATGAACTTTGAAAAGAATCCTATTATTGAAAGATGACTTACAAATCTGATCTCAGTCACAATGCTTGTCAGAAAAATAGCAATTAGATATTTTACTCACACTGTTCAGCCCTATATTTGAATATTTGAAATGTCTTGAGATTAGAAGTGTTCATTATTGATCAATTTTTAAATAACTGAATATGTAATTGTAAAGTTACAGAGGAGAAACCCATAAGTGGTTCTACAGTGTCCATAAAGCATGCGCATGCTCTCTGTTGGAGGCTGTATTAGTTGCCTCAAAGTCCACATCTCAGGTGGTCCCCGGGTGTGATGCCCCCCACTCTGCCCCCAGTGGCCAGGCCGTGGCATTAATCACAGCCGAAATAGCTCGGGCTTTGGGTTAATCGAGGGACGTGCTCAGATTCTCACACCTCATACAATTGATTTCTTTAAAAAGATAGATGGGTTTCTTTCTCTACAGACACAGCTAAAAGGCAGTATTATCTGGGGAGTGAAAACCACGCTAACTATCAGAACCTATATCCCTCCACTGTAATGTGCCTAAGAATGTTTCAATTAAGGGAAGTATGTGGTATGGTGAGCATTATAGTACTACTACACAACTACTGACACAACACCCTACTTTTTGTTCATCTCCCAAGCCCACAGTATACATTTCTCATATATATAATATATATATTTATATATATAAAATATAAAAAGTGGAAGGTTTGGGGAAGAGAAGTGTTGCCTTTTAAGAGGCCAAACCTTGGCTGCAGAAATGTCCCGCTTTGATAAATGTATTAGAGAGAAGCTGTAAAAGCCACCACTTACTTGCTGCCTGTTTCTCTTCCTGCTTGTGGCACTATAGACCTGGCTAATTTAATAGTGTGTCCAGAGTAATACATTTACAAAAATGAATGTTTGCCAGATGGCTGTTACTGAAACTGATTTCATTCAGGCCTTCAACATTTTTCATTTGTATTACTCTACTTAGTGACTGAGTGGTTTGTAGTGTCTGTTTATAAAAAGGATTAAGAGCTCTTGTAGGATGCTTTTCAGAAATGAGCTGGAGGAACAAATGTTCCAGTGGGGCTAATTCTATTGTATTTATCATTTCAACAAAATGGCAAAAGCTTTTTCAGACATCATAAAACTGTGAGCAGGTTGTGAGTTGGTCTACATGTAACAGGAGGAGTCCTCTGGGTCATTGTAATCTTGTTAATTACTAATTTATTTTATAGAAATTGCTCGTGTGGCAGGTTTCTGCTTCAGAGAAGATCTGTGAGCTAAGTGCCTATCTACACTAGCTGAGGCAGCCACACGTAAAATGCCATATAAATGTATTATGAAGCTTGTCTAAATGGTCTATGGGCTCGGCTCTTTACTGTGATGGATAACACCATCTTCTGAAACCATCTTTGGCATAGACTACATCAGTAAACTAGTGTCTGCTGGACTGCTACCAAAAGACAGTAATCCTGGTGGCTCCTTCAGGCTGCGTGACCATTACACTGCCCTCCGTTGAGTTTTATATCAAAATGTTTTACTGTTGCTTTGAAAGTAAAAACTGCTCTGTATTCGTTCAGTACGAACAGAGTCTGCACTGTTACCTTTGTGCCGGCTCCTGTGCAGTGACTGTCTCTGCTCTGGCCCCTCTGGTAGCAGATTGTGAAACCAGCGACGGTGCAGGTGTTGGACCCCGAGGCTGCGTGAGGTGGACCCCCGCCCCGGCCTGCCTCCCCCCATAGACACTGGGACAGTAGCCCAGCGTGAGCGCGCCCTCACCCCCAGGCCCACTGTTCTGAGGGCCACAGGAGGAGCTGCCAGGGACAGCGGGGGCACGTTGGCCAGGCTGGAGTGACCCAGTCTCACACTGGAACGCTGGAGCAGGAGGAGACTGCCCGCCATCAAGTAGGCTATGCCCAGGCACAGCAGCAGCATGTGGGCACGCTTCAGGAGGCACTGCAGCCTGTACAGTGGCACCATCCCCACAGTCACTGTCTCCACCCTAAGTACGAGAACATCTGAGACAAACAGATGGAGTCTCAACGCTTCCACACATGAAGCCCTGTTTGACAGCGTGGTTTGAAGTTCATGTCCACAGCTGCTCCGTCAGTAGAAGGACTAAACAGTTTAATCTCCCAAGCTCTGGTCAGAGGGTCCAAGATGATCCATGTTGAAGACCTGCGAGGCACAAAAACAGGCTATCAGATTGGAGGCAACACTATTGTGTGATGTGCAGGGACTATGAAAGAGAGGGGTGTATGCCTGCAGGATTAGAGGCACCGCTCATGTTGACATATGGGCTGGTTTCTGTCTTGCAGCATCTTGCAACACATTCGTAAGTGTCGCTTGCTTCATTGCCCTTATTCCAGCCATTTGAGATTAATTCATTGCTGTCACTGAAACTGTGTTACACTGATTCTGTCATTTATGCAGTGGAGACATATAAAAATGAGATTTCAGGCTATATGAAAAAAGTATATAATCTTGGTTAGTGCTGTATCTCACATAATGGATTTCTATCAATCTGCAGATTGTTTTTAACACCCCCAGTGCCAAAATGATCCATTTCATCACCAGCAGTATCGCCCAGCTTAGAAAATGTTAAGTCTCACTTATCAGAGCCAAATGACATCATGTGATAAAAGTGTCTGGAGAGCGCATTATGAGCGCTTATGACAGGAGGATTATAGCACAAAATATAGAACATTTCTACCCTCGTCATGGAAAATGGGACAGATAATGAATAAATCGCTGAAATGCGAGTTGTCAACTAACGCTATGGGTGGTTATTTTAAATGATACTGACGTGAAAACCACACTTTTAGTCTTGTGTCGCCCTGAATCTTTTAACATCACATGTGAGTCCTGACCCTTCTCAAGCGCTCCTTCAACATTTTCAGTCGCATATTAGCTGTACGACCACCGGCTACGCTACGGAGGGCTTCGGGGTGATGCTCCATCCGTGCATGGTATCTCTGTGGCCGTCACGCTCCGTTCTGCCCTTCGGCTCCACTTTTACCCTCAGGCCTCTCATGTCGCTTTTGAACTACACTCAGTTAACTACGCCCCCTAAAAGTAGGGGTGCGGTGCAGGCAATAAATGAAGCAACAGTTTGCACACAACATTGTCTTTGCTCAGACCAGCTTACCACCAAGTTATGCTGGATTCTTGTAGACAAAATGCGTTTTCAAGAGCCTCTTTCAATAAAACACGAGTAGATTTAGTCTCTCCCCAACATTAGTTGCAATTTGACCAAGTGCATGGGTAAACAGCGGGCGTAAACACGTATCACCTATTTTAAAAGCGTGGTCTTCCATCTTTAAAGCCCTCGCCGCGCTTCCTCCATTTACAGTAGAGCATGTTTATTATCATGCAGCTTACCTTCATCGCTGGAGCATTGCGCACGGGACCGTTCCGTCACGTATCCGCTGTTGGACGTTCACATCGCTATATTTCCGCTTATTGTCCTGCGAAGGTCTCCTCGAGCTCCGTAGCGTTTCCCACAGCCGCTGTTATATAAGCAGACTCTCTCTCTCTCTTTCTCTCTCGCTTCCTAGCTCAACAACCTCCGTCGCTCTCTGAATGCTTGGCACCAGCGTTCAAGACGTGTGTGCGCGCGTGTGAGTATCCGTGCCGGTGCGAGGAGGTGATGGGGAGGAGAGGAGGAGGAGGAGGAGGAGGAGAGAAGAAAGAGGAGGCTCCATTTGCATTGGTGATCGGGACTCGACACATCTCCAACACGGTGCGAAAGTCCAGCGGTCCAATGCTTACAGCGCTTTTATACTGTAGAGGCCAAGGCTTACAGTACTCGGAGGATTCACCACCTTAAGTAACCGCTCCTACATGCCGTCTCAGTTATTAGTCACTTAATTATTTGCCTTATTAATGCTCAATTAACTTCGTTTGTAGTAGAAGAGAGTACAGGAGTTGGGATGGTTGAGCGGTCTTTCTTTCTTCTTTTGCATAAGACGGAGCGTGCTGCTTTGAATTGCAAATCCCAGTGTTTGAATGTACATGTTCTGAAGCCATTTTATCGCATCGTCACTATAAACTCAAAGTGTAGAGGTCTTTAGAAACTTTGAACATAAATTTGAGCTTTCTAAGACAGAAAAACAAATAGAGGCACACTAAAAGAAATGTAACCGTGCATAATAACCATGTAGTAGACGTTATTCATCATTTCAGCACCATGAACAGCGCCACGCCCGCAGCACTTGCCTTGAAAGCGCAGAGGCCAGACAGAGCATACCACCATTTTGTTTTGCTTTGGTTGATTGACCCTCTGAGGCCTCCTCCCATAATGTATTTGGAAATGTTTTCTAATTGTTTTGTCTGGCAAAAACATGGAGACCTAAAGAGGCTCTGTCTAACTATGTAAAAAATATGAAAAACATGCATTCTTACTGTGAGTAGGGTCACCTTTCCACAGATCTGACCTATAATTTGCCCTGGTGGCATCGCCTGTTCCTATGATAATAGTTAAGTTAAATGCAATGCTGTGGAGCAATTACATCTTCATGGAGACAAGCAGGTGGCAGATAGCCACCTAGCGCCACCTTGTGCCTCCACTCAATTTCATTTGTCTCCAGTGACTAGGTCAGGATTCGGAATACACTAGACAGTTTGCAAGAACCCCAGAAGTATGAGTTCAGGCACCAGCCAATCAACGAAGAGCCATACATTCTGTGTTGGCAACAATTCCTGAGATCGAGGATTTAAAGCCGGAACAAAGAGAATACTTGGTGAATTTTATAAAGGGGAAAGATGTTATTGCCCTTCTTCCTATGGGATTTGGGAAAAGCTTAATATACCAGTCAGCCCCGTTAATGGTACATTACATACATCATGACCAAATAGCAGTGATTGGTTAAATGAAAAAAGTATCCACCTCCTTTCGAGCAAATTAATTCTATCACTGCGAGGTCATACAGTTTACCCGAAGTGAAACAGGCTGATGAATCAGGCTATGTGGCAGACCCTTCAGCAGAAAAGTGCAACGATAAGAGACCTGACAGAAAAAAATCAAGATTTAGATTAAAATTTTGGCAAGATATAGCAACATCAGGTTACATGCTAATCCTCCAATGCAACAATCACAATGTCATAACAATGATAAAACACCCGCATAACAAGTTAGCATTATAAATATGCAAACTCTAAACAATAACATAGAAGGAAACAAATAAAGTATAAAAATAATTGTCCGGTCTTGCTATTGTTATTGTGGTAGTGTGTTAGGTCATAACCACTAGATCAAGCTCCATAGTTTCTCATAACTCATAGCAATTTATAAAAGCAAACTTCTCATTGTATTCACACACTCACCATCTTGTCATGGATGTGTGGGTTGCATGCGTTAGCAGCAGTGGGCGTGCGCTATATAGTCTCTTTACTTGACTGTACATACAGCTATATGGACTGACAGCGCCTCCCTCACACAGCTAAACACCTCTTTTCTGATCAGCATTAACATGGCCTGCTCCCTGCTTTTCTCCTGTGGATAGATTGTAGTGCCACAACCCCTCATGACTGGTCCTCTCTGCATGAGCGGTTACAAACACAACAACACAAACCCTCGGAGTACATTATGGAAGGACGCTGCAAGTCAAATAGGCACTGTCTGTGGGCCTATTGTACTTCACTGGATCCTCATCCCTGCGCCAATATCTGTCCTCTAGAGCTGGGAAATATATTCCAAACATTAGAATTGTTGTTTTGGATATGCAAAATTTTAATATCGAGCATATCGTCTAAAGTAAAACAAACAAAAAAAAAACTGTTAAAGAGGGGGTATAATGCTATGATCGTTCCCACATCAAAAACATGCCCAAAGTGGTTTATGTCATCCAAGCATGTTTGAGTAATCTAGCAATCTCTCCCTGGATCTCTTCAAGCCTTTCTTATGGTTAGGTGTACAAGCCCGTGTGTCTTGTACAAGGCTCAGCCCACAAGCCCACACATCCAGGAAGCTACATATGCATGATATAATATTTCCTTGTCAAAAACATACTTGGAGTTGTGTTTTGTTTCATTCCCACATGCTTAACACCCAACCCTGTGTTCTTCCGTCAAATGGAAAACACTCTGTTTCACCTTGTGATGTCATGTGGTAATACAAGGAAGTTTCCCTCTGTGTTTTTACACATCCACAATCATTTGGATGATTTCAGCCCTGGGATTGTTAATCTCTTCAAAACAAAAGGTAAACGATATCTGTTCATTTGGAAACTGTGTGAATGAAACAAAACACAACTCTGGGTATGTTTCTGATGAGGTAACAACATAACAAAAAGCTCACAAGAATACATTTTGTGATATATAGAACCTCTACCAAGCACATTTTAGCACATTTCTCATGGACTACCATTATATCATCTGAATTTTCACATTGAGATAGTAAAAAGAAATTGGAATATAAATTTTTGTCAATATCGCCCACCCCTACTCTCCTCTAACTCGTTATGCCTGTTTATTTTGTATTTATTTTTTATTTTGATTATTATACATAACAAAAACAAAAAGAGACAAAAAAAAACTAACAAAAAAACACCTCCCACAACCCACCCCCTTCTCCACACAAAAAACTGCACAAAAAACACTGGGCAAACAAACATTAACTGTCAAAACTCAAAACAAGCGTCTACATCTGTTTGAAGTCCAGTCACTTCCTAACAGTGCAGACTTTTTCTAACCATCTCCAACTCTGGATCAATCCACACTTTGACCATTGTGGAGTGATGATGCCAGGGTCATCTTAAATAGCAAAGCTCTCCTCTCTTCTAACTGCTGTCTCTATGCGGCACAGTCCAGATCCTCCTCCAGCCTGTACTCTCCTACACACTATTAGCCACCCCCTCTTTTTCAATTAGACTGCATTGCTTGCTTATTACCACAGTTTCGGCTTCAATTTACAAGCCTGGAACAGACTAACCGTGAAGGATTCCAAAAAGTACAAACCTTGGGATGTTCTCTCTCTTTTTTTTTGTACGATTCACAGATTAT